TACGACTTAAATTGTAAAAAAAACATGCTTATATTTTGCTTTTATATATCCATATTTAATTAAATTTACTTCTATTATATTTTAAAATATGTATGACAAAAATAGATTTCATTGTGAAAAGTTATCAAGGTGGATCAACTTACATGGTTGATAACCACTGAGAATGATTGTATTAAACCAGACTAAATATGCCTCAGCATAAACATACATATTTAGTATAGCACATGAAATGACTATTGTGATCGTGTATAATGTGAAGTTCATTCAGATTGTTTTGTAAAATCATCAGTCGCAAATATTAATTAAAAATTAATATAATAAATAGATACTAGATTGTATAATAAAATAATTTTTTATTATTAATATTGATAATTATTAAATTTATATATTATTGATAATTTTTGTTTCATTAAATTGTAATACAAAATTTAATTCTAAGACAATATGACATATTATTTGGCTCGATTAGCTACTATTGTTTTCTAAGTTTTTTTACAAGAAAAGTATGTATCATATACTTTTCTTGCAAATATACATTCTAAAAAGTTTGTATGATTATTGGTACTGTACTACAAAGAATAAAACTTTTAACGAATATGGTCCTGTGGCGCAACGGATAACGCGTCTGACTACGGATCAGAAGATTCCAGGTTCGAATCCTGGCAGGATCGGTATTTTTTTTTATTATTTCTAATAAAACAATTTCTTTAATAATAACATGTATATTGTATGTTTAGATAACATTTTATACTATTTTTCATTTATGTTTTATATTATTATGTGAGATGTTACAAGTAAGTTATTAATATAGAGGTATAGCTTGTGCTTTATATTTTAATATTATGCAAATGAATCATCCATTTCAAATACATATATGAAATATATCAACAGATATACATAAATTAAATGATTATAGTTTTAATTTATGCAATCAATGGACTGCTTTATTAAAAGATAAAAAAAATATATAATGAATGAATTAAATTATCAGAGTTGCAATTTATGCAATCAATGGACTGGTTTATTAAAAGAAAGAATATATGATGAATGATTTCTATAAATCTTAATTAAGTTTAGTTTCATTTCAGTCTCAATTTTAATTTCAATTTTAATACAGATGTTATACATAAAACATATGCTTATGATAACCATCCATACAATGGAGCAACTATACTTTCTTAATTATTTTTCTAACTTCAACATGCCAATAATTTTTAATAATTTATCTTCAGTAAGTAATAATAAAATTGATAACTGTAATCATTGTAATAAAACAACTTCAAATATAGAAAAACAGATTAGATATTTATATTAATGTCAACTAGCTACAAATACTATCCAATTAAAATATTTATTGTTTCTATTATAGGATCGACTTGGCTTTACGAATATATTTCTCAATATGGATATTCGTGCTCGTGCAATTCACACGTAAGTTTTTTAATTTAATTACACGTGGTTAGTTTAATTTATAATAATAAATTTGTTTTATTATTTCAACTCTACATAAAAGACAAACATATATATGTATATTCTTGATTAACGTTTAAACTTCATTAAAATTCTTTTCATTACTAACATCTTCGCTATAAATGGAATATCTATATCTGAGAACTTGCATGCTTATGATAAAATAGAATATTAGAGACTTTCAAAAAGATTATAATGATCTGCGAGCAATTTATTTTTATAGTCATTAGAAAAGAAGAAAGTGTAGAATTCTCAAATAGTAAAATTAATTTACGAAATAAAATTGGATTATAAATTATAGTTTACATATTAAATTAAATGTTTGTTCTATTAAATTTGAATTTTTAAAAAATAAGAGACGCAATCTTAAAAATACTGTATCTGTAAATAATCAGTTACGATCAAATATTTTTCGATTATTATTATAATTTCAATCATGTCTTGTTGAAAGTATTTCCAAAATTTGACTAAGAATGTGGTGAGTTGGTTAAAACTTTTTTATCCAACTCAAAACAAAATATACTTATGTATGCATATATCCTCAGTGAAGAAGATGGCACACACGAGTAATATATATAGATAAAGTGTGCTATCATTTCACCGTTGTTATAAAACAATTTTTTACAACATTGTCTATACGTTATTAGAAATTAAAAATATTGCGAATACGTGTGTTGGTTTTTTGACTGGTACTGTATGGAACTTGTATTGCATTTGTACAATGCTTATGCTCATGCTGTCATGAGAATAGAACCATCAGTAGCGTTTGATTAGAATGATTCAAGCAGAAACTTATTGTGTTGTGTAACAATAGAGCATTTCTTCCTAACGATGTCATCTCACGTTGTCACTATGCAGGCATGTATGTACATACATATGTACTTCTATGCATTTTATTCTTTCTCATTTTAACAATAACTACATTCTTGATTTTTTCGCAAAATTTCGTAAATTCATCGGTTATTTATCATTTCGAGTTCAATGTACATCTAAATTTATTATCGAATAATATTAAACTTTAAATATTATATGCCTGTCTGTAAAACTGCTCTCAATTTCTTCATTCTTATTATGTCCCATTCTTTGTACTACTTTTATTACTATTTTACTATCTTTTAATACGCCGTGTAAAGTCGCCTAATATGGAATTTTTCTTAATATAAGATCCTCATCTTTATCATCGAATGTGATCGCAATATTCTTTTGTTTGTAAGCGTTTATCGTCTGCACGTCTGACGTCAGAACCATCTTTGGGAAACACATGTCAGTGAATTGCGAAAAGATTCTTACTCGATTACAAATATCTTAAAAATGGTAAATATTTAATTTTATTTTTTCTTAAATATTATTACATAGTGCAGATAGATCAATGAAGACTATCTGCGTCTACTGGTTATATGTTATGAAGTAATGAAGTATTAATCTTCAAATTATCGAATAATTATGTAATTGTTTACTGATATGAGACCTATCTGCGAATTTGCATAATTTCTGTTTTTAGTTCAGTTTGTTAAAAGAGATATCGTAGTTTTTAAAATATATAAAAAAAAGTTTAAGAAAAGTGCTTTTAGTTAAGAATTATGTTGCTTTTAAAAAATGAGTATT